AAAGCATGCAAGATAAGGCCAGCATGTTATTAAGAATAATGCACTGTTTGACTGGATGCAGAAGGGGCATTAAAGTAGGCAGGATGTCATTCCTAGGTACTAATTTGCCAAACATGCCTGCAGCAGTGAGTTTTCCTCATGAGCCTGATGCTACTGAGGTTAGGAGGCTGGGTATGGAAAGACTGCATATTTGACACATTCTCTCTAGAACTAAAATGGCATTTTGTTAGCAGTTGACAGTATGCTGTCTGCCTGCACTTGGCAAAAACAGTGAAAAGTTTGGTTATTTTGACATTTTTCTTACTTCTAGCACAACAAGTGGGAGCTGAGAGCCAGAAAACTCTTGAGTTGGAGTGTTACCATGGATAAAACTAAGCCTGTTGAAATAATGATTGTGCTGTACTTGCTTAACTCTTCAGTTTGGCTCAGGAAAATGTCTCAGGTCTCAGAGCAGGCAACTGGGGAGGGAGAGGGGCTGTTTAGCAACCTCCTATCTTATATTCACCTTTTGGTGCTGATCCTGCTTCCTCATGGCCCTCTGCTGTCCTTCCCAGTCCTGTCTGCACTCAATGCCATCTGGGTGACAGAGGAGATGGAGCACTCCCTGGAAGTGGAGTGGGAGAACCCACCAACAGAGGTGGATTATTACAAGCTGAAGTTCAGATCCCTGATGGAGGTAGATGAGAAGCAGGTCACGGTACCCAAAAGCAATGACCCTAAGAGCAGACACATCATGACTGGTGAGTACTTGTGGGTATTCCAAACTGGGCAGGGGCAGGGAGAAGTGGCAGGCGTGATTGACGGTCAGACCATAGCCCTGAGATGATTCTTCTCTCACGTGTGGATGGCCACTTTTCCTTCACCTCATGCCTGCCGTAGGCCAGGGTGAGATTTATTGGGGTTCCCCTAACCCATAATGATGGGTGTCTCTACAGGGAGAAAGCTTCTATGCCCTGTGGATAGGAAGTTTCAAGGCATATTCATTCAGCTTTAATTCCATCCTTGTTAGGAATAAAGTATATTCTATTTCAGAGCTGGTAACGTTCATGTTATGGAAATCCCTGCTCACTGTGTATGTCAATGTATGCCCTACTGGCAAGCCTGGACCAGAAGTGCTACCAAGGCATTCTCAAGACAAAAGGAAGTTCAGATAGAAATCTAAACTTTAAGTTCCTCTCTGCTACAAACCGAGAACTGGGTAGACTAAACAAAATAGCTTTCTTTAAGAAAAATTACCGTCTTCCCTAATTGTTTATAACGCTTCCTTTTGCTCTTTGTAGGCCTGAAACCTGGCACAGGGTATGAGGTTACCATCATACCTGTGAAAGACAATACAGAGGGGAAACCATCCTCAGTGAGTGGTAGGACTGGTACGTGGAAAGTTTCTTTTATGATAGAGATGTTACTACAGTGTTTGGGGGCAGATCTGTCAAGATCACAGCGTGAAAAGTGCATAGTTGGCTGCTTCTTCATGCATGACCTGCAGCCAAGTCTGCTTACATCTTGTTTAAGCTTGTCTACACCATATATTAAACACTAAACCTAGCCCTAGCTCAGTCTTTTGCCTTGGTTTTGAATCTACAGTAACTTCACCCTTAACTTGACTAACGGCTCCAGCCAGATGCAGGATAAGTGTAGTAAGCTGGCCTCTGTATGTAATAACAACCCTCAAACGAGCTCAGAGCTAGGTCCAGCAGTAACTCAAAGCTTTCTGGTTCATGACTTCCCTAACTAGATCATTGGCAGGATGACCTCACTTAAACCTAGCACACACGATTTGTGGTCTGAATATAGCCCTTCCTCGTGGATCATCTGGGCAGCTGCCACTGAGTGCCTTGCAGCTGTTAGCTGCTGCTGATTTGTCTGGTCTCTGAGCCTAGGAGTGATAAGGAAGAGGACAAGTTCTTCTTCTCCTGTATTGCCTGGCTCCAGCGTTATTTTTCTGTTCACCAGACTGAACAGAACAGTTGGACTGAGGAGCAGATTAGCACACCGTTGCCAGGCCTCCATTTCCACTGGGGGCTATAGTCCCAGCCCGCTGTGTGGTCTGATACACCTGCCCCCATGGAGGCAAAGTTGTGCTTGTCCAGTGGGCTGCACAGTGGCACAGCCCTGGCATGTCTGTGGTAGCTTGAGTCTTCGCCTCTTACATGTGAAGTGACTGAAGAGGCTTCAGCTACTTGCTGGCCCTTAGAGGTTGAAGCTTTGGACTGCTTTATCTTGTAACAGAGTCCGAGTCAGATGTAGTCATCTCTAGCATGGCAAGAGCACAGAAGCATCCTGAGGCTGACTTCTGCTCCGACTGTGTGCTCAGTACAGCTTGGAAGGCCTGGCAGATGCTGCTGTTACTTGACTATTATTTTTCCTGTAACTGGCAGCCTAGCCATTCCAGACCTGAATGTTAAAGCAGATCTGGAAACCCTGTGGTTCGTTGATGCTTCAAGCTCTTCAAAAACGTGGCAGAATATTTTTGAGCTATTATGTTGCAAAAGAGAGCTTGAAGAAGTTTGAACTCTCATTCTACCTGTAAGATTCTGGAAACTCTGAAATTCAGCTCTCTTACAAAAGGGTAGCTGTCATCCAAAGACTGAAAAATCCCAAATCAGGCCTGACATTCCTGAGGTTGTCTTGTGAATTATTCCATTAAAAGAAAATTGATTTAAAACAACAAAACCTCAACCTCCACACTGCCATTGTAAGGCTGCTCTTCTTCCCTGTGTAGATTCTGATTATTTGGAACATGCTTGGCTTGTGTTTTCAAGCTGTTCTTCACAGACATGGGGGCTGCAAAACTTCTCAAAAAAGAAAAAAAAAAATCCACAGTGAGTAATCCTGCTCATATTCTTATGTAACCCCTGGAACTTAGGAGCTGCAACTAAGACAAATACCAGTTATTGCAAGAGCTACCACTAAACTCTGATTCACCACCTAAAATAGCAGAAGCCTTGGGGGAGTCTGAGAGACAGGTCTGCAGGATAGGCAGAAAGGGAGGAGCAACAAATGGCTGACACTGGAAGCAGAGAAAGGATGGAGCCTATACTTGGTGCTGTGAGGAGGGCAAGCAAGAAGGTAATGCTCAAGATGGTACCCATGGAAGGTGAGGCAGGTAGCCTGCAAGCTTTTCCTGCAGAAAAAAAATTGAAAGTTTCATCTAAATGGTAGACACAAGCCCTGCTTTCTCCCCACTCTGACCATGCTGGTTTGTCATGGATGTGTTTCTTTCCCCCTCAGGCCAAAGCAGCAAGGCAAAATGAAGGAAATGTGCACGTGCCATGACAGGTATTGTAGTGATTTAATTCAGCTGGAGTTTCCTAATCCTGTGCTTTGAAATGTTCTCTCAGGAGTTGATAGTCCAACCAATGTGGCAACTGACCAAGTGACAGAGGATACAGCCACTGTCTCATGGAGTAAAGTTGAGGCTCCCATAGACAGGTACATGGTGAGATACACCTCAGCTGATGGGGACATCAAGGAAATAGAGGTGGGGAGTAAAAATGACATCATCACCTTACTGGATCTGAAGCCAGGCATGGAATATGTCATCCACATCTGGGCAGAGAAGGGACCCCAGCGGAGCAAGAAGGCAAGCACCAGTGCCGTGACAGGTATGTTGTGGCAGCAGCAGCAGCGGAGGCAAACAAGTTTGAATTTCAAACTCCTTCATCAATTGTACTTGTTTTAGTAAAGCTTCTCCTGCTTTGCACAGGTTTGTGAGGCAAAAAAATCATGTCATTCTTACTAGAGTAGCTGAACAGGTCTCCAGCTCAGCTTGAAAACTCTTTGTTTCAAGTCCTGTTACAGACAGGTCCTATGGCAAGGCACCAGTTACTATCAGTACAGAGAACAGTGAAACACAGCCAAAACTGAAGCTTCATAGCTGGAACATTTAATTCGTGCCTTGCTTTTAAAATGCCATAAACAACCTCCAAGCTTTTCTTTGGGTGACTGTTGTGGCCTTTCTCAACAGGACAGGGGGCTCATACACATTTTGCACAGATAGTCACGACAGAGTGTTTGTTAAAAAGGAAAAACAAATTTATTGGGATCATGGCATAAGGCAAGACTCATGTGGAGAATCAAACCTCTGAACAGGACATTTGGTCACTGTCCCTTGGTGGCCAGGAGTCTCCACTGGAAGGGTGCTTGCAGCAGGGTCTGCAGCTAGATTGGGAAACTCGTCGAATCACTGTTTCGCTCAGTTCTTATAATCCAGCCAGCCATGGTCCAATGTGGCTGTGTGTACAGGAGCAGTTTCTGCTGATGATTTACAAATGTCTTACCTATGTGCAATCTGTACTTCTGCAGCAGAAATTACCTAGGGGAGTGTTTGGGATGCTCCACTCAGGATGTTAACCAACACATTTAAGCATATAAATTGGACTAGACACAATAGGAGCTGCCTTGGGGGAATTTGTAGGACCTCACCCAGAGGGGATTGGTAAGGATCAGTCAAATGCTTAATTATGAAGTTCAGTCAATCATCTACTTTGAAGTTGGTCCATTGTCGCAAGCCAGCCCATGTTCTCACTGATACAGGTGACTGGCTGGGGAGCTTCTGGACCATCCAGGGACTTAAGGAGTTAAATGCACTGCATATGCATACAGGCACAGCCCATACCCAGCTGCAATGCAATTATAACTAAAGAACAAACTTGATTTTCATATCACTCGATTTTCATATCACACAAGAAAATAATTAACTTGATTTTCTTGCCACAGGTGAGCATCTTACACTGCTAACTAGCTGAGCTGTGATTATTCAAATATATGTTCCCAGTGTGCACCGCTCTAGGTGACACAAATGAGCCTCAGCATCTTTCATTAAAATGAGAAGTAATATATTTTAATCTCATGAAAGAGGTGAGATTAGTACACACAGGTGGAAAATCACAACTTTTACCATAGCTAATGTGTGGTAAATCATAGTGCAGCTAAGCTGGTGTCTGGTAAATTGCAGTGTGGCCGTCAGATGGTTGTGCATTTGTGCCCTGGAGTTTAGAGCCTTCAGCAGAATAAGCCAGAATAAGAAATGCTGTTCCAGTAATTTGGGAGGCATCTGCAAGTCCTTCATTGCTCAGGCTGCTGAGAGGTATTTAGCAGTTCAGTGAAGGAAAAAAAAAAACCAAAGCAAAACAGAATCCACAAAAAAACATGCTCTCTGTATAGGTCACGGGATGTTGGGTCATCCTTGAAGGGCCACATTGCTGCAAGCCGCTTTGTGATAGTCACTTAAGGCTTGTGAAGTCTAGCGTCATGTTTCTGTCTGTGAAAAGGGCAAGGGAAGGATTGTGATAATGGGAGGAGATTGAAAGTGGCTTTTTTTCTTGTGGAGAATGTGAACATAGTTCTCGCTAGTGTTGTTGCCTTGTTCTTCACCTTCAAACCTTCCCTTAAGAAATTGCCAGTGTAGTGTCCATGTAGTGGCCAGATGGCTGACAGAAGATACAGTCACAATCTCGTGGGATAGGGCCTCTGATAGACAGGTACTTGGTGAGATACAACACAACTGATGGGGTTGCAAAGAACTTGGAGGTGGGGAAGGACAAGAGCATCACTGCTCTGACAGGACTGAAGCCAAGCAAAAAGTATGCCACCAGCCTCTGGGCAGAGAGGGGAGCCCAGCAGACATCAAAGCTGTGACAGGTAGGAAGTTTTGCTTTAGTAGGAAATAATCCTGTCCAAGGAGAGCTGCATTTCTGACAGAGATTCTGAGCAGGCAGTTTGGTTTTTGGGATAATTCCCAGAGCAACCCAGACAAGAGGTTGTGGTCTTCAGAAAGCAAGAGACAGTAACACCATATTCTGCATGGGCTTTCCTCCCTGCCTGTGCAGGGCCAGCTGTGTTTTTGTTGCCAACAAAGAGCCCTGCTCTTGCGGCTGTGAGGAGGAAACCTAGACTCCAGCTGAAATACCTCAGAATTGGGTACCTCCCAGCTTTGTAGTTCAGGCCCATCCTTGATAAGAAATAAAGGATGAGAAGTGAAAGAAATTGGCTGGGCCCTTGAGGGGAAGGAAGAAGTGTTGCTTCACCAGGACAACCCATGTTCTTCACTCCTAACTGTTCCTGCAGAAATCAGCAGCCCAGCTCACCCAGCGCAGGCTCCGAGGGCTGACTGGCCCTGCCACCTCGGCACTGCCACACAAGTGTGTACACCAATGAGTCAAGAATGGTAGGACTTGCAAGTGGTTAGCCCCCTTGTTTTATCTACCTTGCACTGTATCCAACAGTACAAAATTATTTGGGGCCACAAACGGTGATATCCAATGGGACTCACTTAAGTGTCAGTTATTTACACTGCATGATCAAAATATGGTTTGTAGCTAAAGATGAAACTTCTGTTGGATTTACCAGTTTGAGCTGGAGAATAAAACAAGCACGCTTTTGGACAAAGGACCCTTTTTAGGTCTTTGGGCATAGAATCATTTCCCAAAGCTCATCTGTTTTTCCGAATATATTTGATAGTCTGATACAACATACTACCTCTGCCTATAAAACTTGTGTTGTCAGTGTCTTTAGACCATTGTGATTACCACAGCACTATACTAAAACTTATAATGACTTTTGTTTACAGAAATTGACAGCCCAACTGAGCTGTTGACTGACCAAGTGACAGAGGATGCAATTACTGTTTCCTGGAACAAAGTCCAGGCTTCAATAGACAGATACAGAGTGAGCTACACCTCAGCTAATGGGGACACAGAGGAGAGAGAGGTGGAGAAAGACAAGAATGTCACTACTTTGGCAGGACTGAAGCCAGGCATGGAGTACGTCATTTACATCTGGGCAGAAAAGGGAGAACAACAGAGCAAGAGGGCCAGCACTGAGGCTGTGACTGGTAAGAGGGCAATAGCTTGAGCTGAGAGTGTAAGTTACAGTCCAGCTTTGCCTTAACACTGAATAAGTCCATCCTAAGGCAGTTTCACAGCAGAGGGAGATTCAAGCTTAACAGATCGAGTCTTCAGGTTAGTGCATCTTGCTGTGAAACCTATCTGACTCATCACAGAGAGATTCTAATTACCTGTATGTACTACAAATGGGCTGTAGTGATTACTACTAGGGATTAAGGAAAATGAAGCCTTTGCAGCAGTGTCTCTTATGTATTTAGAATCATTAAGGTTGGAAGAGACCTCTAAGATCATCGAGTCCAACCGTCAACCCAACACCACCGTGCCCACTAAACCATGTCCCTAAGTGCCGCATCTACACGTCTTTTAAATACCTCCAGGGATGGTGACTCAACCACTTCCCTGGGCAGCCTGTTCCAATGTTTAACCACTCTTTCAGTAAAGAAATTTTTCCTCACGTCCAATCTAAACCTCCCCTGGCGCAACTTGAGGCCATTTCCTCTCGTCCTTTCGCCAGTTACTTGGGAGAAGAGACCGACACCCACCTCGCTACAACCTCCTTTCAGGTAGTTGTAGAGAGCGATGAGGTCTCCCCTCAGCCTCCTTTTCTCCAGGCTAAACAACCCCAGGTCCCTCAGCCGCTCCTCATAAGACTTGTTCTCCAGACCCTTCACCAGCTTCGTTGCCCTTCTCTGGACACTATATTTATATAGTCTTGTTTTGTTTTAATTGGTTAATTCATTTATCCTTCATCATGGAATAGGGAAATGCTCAGTTCCTTTTTGCAGATGAAAAAATTGAAGTGCAGAGAGACTAACAGCATGCAGGATGCCTTTTCTTGCAATAGGATGATTAATCCTTGTTCCTCAGTTGTTCTTACTAGGACTTTCTTTCCCCTGTGCATCCAGTCCTGGTTAAGAAGGAGTAGTGATCTGCCCAGTGTGAGGGTTACCGGTTTATAACAACATTGTAAAGCTGAATGCCTGAATCGATTGCAAGCTGTTGTGAGTGTTTAAAAGACCCATGCTCTAGGTCAGGGACTTCCTGAAGGAAGATGAGTAAATGCGTACCTGGGTCATCCCGGACTCTTAACAAAAGAGCTTTGTTCTCTCGCTGTTGTGGCTTAACCTGGCAGGCAGCTAAACACTACACAGCCGTTCACTCACTCCCCCCACCAGTGGAATGGGGGAGAGAATTGGGGGGAGGGGGGGGAGTAAAATTTGTGGGTTGAGACAAAGACAGTTTAATAGGACAGAAAAGGAAGGGAAAATAATAATAATGATAAAAGAATATACAAAGTAAGTGATGCACAATGCAATTGCTCACCACCTGCCGACCGATGCCCAACCAGTTCCCAAGCAGTGGTCACTCCCGCCCCTCGGCCAGCTTTCCCCCAGTTTATGTACTGAGCATGACATCATATGGTATGGAATATCCCTTTGGCCAGTTCGGGTCAGCTGTCCTGGCTGTGCCCCCTCCCAGCTTCTTGCTGGCAGGGCATGAGAAGCTGAAAAGTCCTTGACTAGTGTAAGCACTGCTTAGCAACAACTAAAACATCGGTGTGTCATCAACATTATTCTCATCCTAAATCCAAAACGCAGCACCATACCAGCTACTGGGAAGAAAATTAACTCTATCCCAGCCAAAACCAGGACACTCACTTTCTGGACAGATGACATCTACATGAGCTTCAGAGGCTTGTGATCATGAGAAAGTAAGAAAGTAACAATATCTTGCTTTGCAAGGGCTCTCTTCTGTCCAGGTCAGGACTGGCTGTGCTGTTCCCTCAGAAAGCTTCTGTAAGGATTAAAGACAGACCCCAGTCAAATCACCTCAGACGTTGATACTTCCCAGCTTTGTGGGTCCAATCAGTGTGTGACTGGAAATAGGACTTGAAAAAGGAAGAAAACTGGCAAGGCCCTTGAGGGGAAGGAGTGTCACAGTACAGCCTGACTATGACAGCCTGTGTTCTTCACTTTTAACTGTCTGCAGAAATCGACAGCCCAGCTCACCTTGTGACTGATCAAGTGACAGAGGACACAGCCACCATCTCCTGGGCCAAGGTCCAGGCTCTCATAGATAGGTACACGGTGAACTACACCTCTGTTGATGGTGACACAGAGGAGATGGAAGTGGGAAAGAACGAGACTACCACTACTTTGACAGGACTGAAACCTGGCATTGAATATGTCATCTTCCTCTGGGCAGCGAAGGGAACCCGGCAGAGCAAGAGGATCAGCACTGAGGCAGTGACAGGTATTCCAGAGAATCTTTGTGCTTCTACATGACACTATGTTGTGGAGGTGATCTCAATTTCTGTCCTGTTTTCTTCTGGCCTGTTGCAGAACATACACTAGACACCGTTTTGTCTTGTGGTCACCTATGATGTGAGGACATCCATGCTACAGGCACCTTCAGGCTTCAGATAGAGATGGTGCCAAGTCTAGAGAACTTTTAGGAGCTAATGACTGCTCTGTTAGTTCAGAAACTATCAGCCCAGTGTGAACTTCACAGCACTTTGCTAAAGCACTGTGGTCCTCACTTATCAGCTTTGCCTACTCTTTTTGGTCTTCAGGTATGCTAAGCTTTGCAGGTGTGGTTGAGCTCTGCCCCACAATATACTTGGAAATGCTTTGCCTGAGCTCTGCCCCACAGTATACGCTACTGCTGTTGAATCCTGCCTAAACTTAGGATGGTTCAACTAGCGTCACTGATAAGAATAGTATTTATCAATGAATCAAGACTTGGAAGGAAACACCCCTATTTTAATCATCTTCTCCCAAAACATGAAAGGGTAGCAAATGGTCTGAGCCTGACTAAAGTCTCTTAACTATCAGTAATTCCCCTTGTATAATCAAGGTTTTTGCTTACAGAAGTTGGCTGCTTAGCTAGGCTGAAGACTGACTGATCGGCAGAGGACACTGCTAGTGTTTCTTGGGAGTGAGGGAAAGATGGGGTAGGACACAGGTCTTGCTGTCCTGATTAGTTTGAAGCCAGACATGGTGTATATCATCTGTGCGTGGACAGGGAAAGGAAGCAAGCAGAGCAAGAGGGCAGGTACAAACACTCTTATGGGTGACCTGTGGAAATCTTGGGTTGTAATTTTGCAGCTATGGAAGGAGGGATGTAGCTTCACATGGTGAATTAGTTACGATTATGTTCTCCTTTGGCCACCTCTTTTGCCAAGGCCGCCTTCCCTCAGTCTTACTGTAGAGAAGTGTTACACCTTGCTGGCACCTCACAACTCAAAAAGATATTTGTGGGGGAGACTGATAAAGGGAAGCAGAGTGTTGGTGCTGCCTCAGTCTCTCACATCTTTCTTTACCTCAGTGTACGCTGTGTCATCCAGGACTCCAGGGCCGTGCATGCTCCCAAATAATTGGTCTAATGGATCTCTCTTGAGGCTGTGTCAGACCTAAATTCTTACGAACCTTAAATTTCAGTTGGACCTTCTTCTGCACAATCATTCTTCCCTGTATCTTTGCTTATATTTTACTCCTGAGGCCTCTGTCTGAAGATGGCCATGCCTCAGTACCTTACCTTGTCTTACTCCAGTTCCGCATTGTCAATAGCAGGCGCGGTGATTAGCCACTGAGACCCAGTAAAGCTACGGATGAGTTAGTCCATGTCATCCTTCGCTTCCTGAGGGTAGCATCATGGGGCTTTAGAAAGCAAAAGTTTTAAGGGGAACCTGTGTGTCTTTTAGTTACCCACACTTTCTACTCTGCACCTTGTTTCTTAGAAATGGACAGCCCAAAGAATCTGGTAACTGACCGAGTGACAGAGGACTCAGCCACCATCTCCTGGGATAGTGTCCAAGCTCCCATAGACAGGTATATGGTGAGCTACACTTCTGCTGTTGGGGACACCAAGGAAATAGAAGTGGGGAAGAACAAGAGCATTACCACCCTGACAGGACTGAAACCAGGCATGAAGTACACCATCCATCTCTGGACAGAGCTGGGAAGCAAGCAGAGCAAGAGGGCAAGCACTGACATGCTGACAGGTAACTGTGGGCAGAAGGGAAAGGAAATGGGGTAGAAGGACCCTACTGTCTTGTTATTTTACATTTCATCATCTCTCTTTGCATTACTGGGTAATGAAGAGGCACAGTGGTAAACCCATTCTGGAGATAAGTGCATGAGTATAGACTACCGTAACAGAGACTGCTGCTATAGATGATTATAGAACAGGCAGATGTTGTAGTACAAGATGACAGCTGATGGTACCCAGCTTATTTCACTAGTCCTTAATCAAAAGCATGCGGTGTTTCATGTGTTGCTATCAAGCCTAACAATAACAGAGGTTTAACAACCAAAGTTAAACCATTTTAGAATCGGGGACAGTTAAAAATAATGGCCTGCCCTTTGACTCATGACCTTAGACTGGTCCTAGGAGACTGCCAAGCAGGCTTAAATCTGTTCTGTTCAGTCAGTCGTAAGGATTATGGTGTACTGGGAACATTTCAGGGTCAATCCATATCCATTGGCCTTGCTAATGTACTGTTTCTTAGTTTATGAATCAAGCTGGTGTGAGATAGAGTAGTTGAAGCTTGGATTTAGGGCAAGATGCCAAGCAGTTCCCCAGTGCTTACAGAGGTCGAGGGCAGCTGATGGGAACAAATGGAGATCTCTTGAGGTCAAAAAACTGAACCTATCTGGAACTAGAAATGCAAGGAGAGTTTCAGCAAATTGAAACGTTGTTTTTTTTGAACTGGAATGAAAATGAAGACACCTGGAAATTTCACATGAAGTGAAACTGCTGGGAGAGGGAATGCATTTAGCATTAGTAGGGATATTTTTGAAATATCCGCACAAAAAAAAAAGTTGGGGTTTTTTTTTTGTGTGTGTTATACTTCCAAAAGTAATGACACCTCTGCTAAAATAATACAACTTCTGAGGGGAGAAAAAAACCCCAACATTTTCTTACTCAGGGTGATGGCTGATTATTCCCTAGCATTCAAACCGGCTGTGGCAGGGAGCTGTTCTGCAGTGGTCTCCTGCACCCATGGAAACTGCTGACTGGCTTTTAAGAGCAGTGCTGTGAAACTGTAGGGCTCTCTCTAAGGCTGCCCTTCCCATCCCTTGCTTCTCGTGATGGATTTGGTACCTTTTAGCTCCCTCTTCTGTCCAGCGGGAGGTATACATGTAATGAGCGACTCGGAAGATTTCTGTGTCCTTTTATTTAAAGCAGTTGTTTAGCGGTCTCCCGAATGAAGCACCAGTTCATTAGATAATGAGCTAATGCTTAATTCAGGAGCCTAGTGAAAGGTGGCTTCAGTTATAATGAGTAGCTGGTGTTTTAAACAACATGCTGTGTGAATGTTGGTGTTCCTGTTCCTGTTGTTCTCCTTATATTCGGTGTTTTGATTTCTTCTTCTCTGCCTCTCTATCTGTTTTAAGCAGTAACCCTATACACAAGGAGTGCGGTGTTTCCTGGGAGAAGCCACACTGCTCTACTCTTCTCGTTTATCTAAGACAGACATAGCTTGGCCTTGTCTTCCTCCGTGGCCTTTTCACAACTGTAATATTTCACTGATGCATTATAATCATTGTTATGATTATCCTCATAGCACTCTTCAAGTTCTGGGAAGTGTTGTTGCCTGGTTTATATGGAGAAGAACTGAATCAACAGACAAGTTAAATGACATGCCCGTAGTCCCCCAGGGAGGTCTGTGGAAGAGCAGGGAATTGAGATGAATTATTCAGTTATAGTTTGCTATAAACTCAGGTGCACTTCAGGGTTGGAGCACTCTTCCCTGAAGGCCAGCACTGCCCACTAAGAAACTTTTCTCTGAAACTTGGAAAGCCGGACAAACCTTACTCCTTAAATTTTTTTTCCTTAAGATGTTCCCAAAACACCAGAATATAGCAAGCACAGGATGAAAATTAGGGAGAGGCTTCTTCCATTGTTTTTACTTCCAGCTGAGCTTTAGAAATTGCTTTTATCCTGAGGGAAGCACTGCAGCCCCGTTGTGGGTATCTTATAAGACAGATGCTTTTCGACAACTGCTGTGAACTGGCATTGCTTGAAAATAATTCTGTTGTTCTCCTCATGCTGAACTTGGGCAGTCTGACTGCACAGGAAAAGTCTGGCTAAGCCTTTGATGTCAGTGAAGGAGCTGGTGTCCCATATACAGTACAGATTAAACTGTAAAGCTGTGGGTTTCTTTGTATTCCTGCATTTACTAAAGAAGGCTGAAGAATAAAGCCTGTGAAGTCATTCTTCTGCAGTAGGGAAACAAGTGGTAGGGGCTCTCAGCAGGGCACACTTGGGCCATGCTCCAGGACTGGGGTATAGAGACCAAACCTTACCTATCTGTGCGTGCTCTTCAGAGATCAGCCTGGTGGAGGTTTTTCAGGCAGACGTGTGAGGAGCTCCTGGGCCTGGTACAGGTGAGCCAATTGCAGGGCTCACAAAACATCCCAAACCAGATCTGCAGCAGATCTTGCCATGTTTGATCTAGGCTTCCGCTGCTTCTTGCTAGCTGTGAAGGTCACTGGGTGACTTCAGTAGTTCCCAGTTAACAGGATCAGGCATTGAAAGCTCAGCCCAAGCCCTGTGCTGCAGTTGCTGTCTTTCATTTATGCAATGGGAGTTGAATTTTCTTTTCTTTTTCAATAGAGATCGATCCTCCCAAGAACCTCCATGTGTCAGATGTGACTCATTCTACTGGCGTGGTTACCTGGACTCCTCCTGCAGCACAGATTGATGCCTATGTTCTGACTTACCAGGGTCGAGATGGCATGAGCAAGGTACAGTGAATTCCTCAGCCTTGCAGACCCCACTGAAATCAGCCCTATGATTATGGGCTCTGCCAGTTGGGTCTTGTGGGTATATGGTCCACAGAAAAACAATTTTGAGAGGGAATCTATGCTATCCATGGCCCAGGGAGGGAGAGCTTAAGGAAGGAGGTGTGTTACTGTCATGAGTAGAAGCTGTGGAGGGACTTTGTGACAGTGGAACGCCTCTTCCCAACAGATCTCCAGGTGCAGAGAACATGTTTGTTTCTTCACTTTTCTTTTCTAACTTGATAATACCTGGAAGGGCAGCACTCACCAGGGATAGAGTGTCCTCAATGTCCTAACAGTGTTTTTTGAGACCTTGCCCCAAATCTTCCTTCTGAGGAGATGGACTCCATGTCTCAAGGATATACAGAGAATGTGCCTGTCTGAACTCTACCAGAAAAGCCTGTAAATGCATGTGGAGTATGAGGCACTGTGGTCCAGAAAAGCTAAATGCTATTCAGAGTTGGGTTAACCTTTGATCTGTTTTATTTGGCAGGAAGTACATCTGGGTCCTAGCGAACAACGGTTTGTGCTGGAAGGACTGGAACAAGGAGTGAGGTATACCATCTTTGTGAGGGCCTATAAGGGAGATTGCCAGAGCAGAAAGACAGACAGTACCTTCTCAACAGGTAAGATTTGGCCTTGGTTGTGGCACTTTTCCCTGTGCACTGCAGCTGTTGTGCTTTATGGTAGAGGTCAGAGATAGAGTTCATGTTCTACAGACAAACTGGGAAACTGCATGATCATAAGCAAACCATCTAGCGAGTCAATGATGTATCTCCTGGCTGGGAGTCCATTCTAAGCCCACACCATCTGGAGACTTGGAAACACAATGGGATGGTGTGAGTGGAGATTGCCCACACTGGTCAGTGCTGCTGGCAAACCTTGCTAGCCAAGTGTGGGACAAAGCCTCCTGGTGAGCTGCCAGTGGGCAGGAGAGATGATGATACACTAGAGATCTTTCTGCACCATCCTAGTAATGGTAGGACACAGCTGTGTAAGTACTGTCATGGCATTGGGTAGCTGCCCAGGTTGTTTTCAGAGGTCAGGAAATGCACACCAGAATGGCAGCAAATCAAACAAAATCTCACACCAGCTTGCTGTGGGAGCCTCTTGTACTGTGCCAGAGCCCACAGGGGTTGCCAATTGTGGACAAATTGTGAAATGCAGAGAAATTAAAGTCCCTATTTACTGGCACTCCCACCTTTGCAAACAAGGGCTCCTCTTCTTGCTCTCACTGTGGCCCAAGACTACATCTCTTGCAGCCTCTGGGGACCTTATCCATGTGCCAGCTCCCAGGCAGCAGGGAAGGCTGCCAGCAGCAACCTACTGATGCAACTGGGCACTGTGTGAGCACACAGTGGGGGCTGCTGCTTTCTTTACTTCTCTTCCAGTACTGTTGTCCTTAGGAGATTCCTAAGGGTGTGAAATGCCTCCCCCAGCTCTATGGCCTGCTTTGCTGATGTGCGGTTTTGCCCCCTCTGTTCTCACAGTTAGCTTCCTCTACCCGTATCCTGCAGACTGCAGCCAGATGCAGCAGAACGGCAATGCCTCCAGTGGCATGTATACCATTTACCTGAACAGGGATGGCAGCAGGCCGATGCAGGTGTACTGTGACATGACCACTGATGGAGGCGGGTGGATAGTGAGTGATTCTCTGCTCCTCTTTGTTTTTTTTTTTTATGAACCTAATCAAGTGGACCTGGTACCGGTGTTAGCTGAGGCTCCTTTTGCTCTACTGCAGTGCTGCTTCAGCTCCTGCCTTGATGGAGTAGCGTATTTAGGAAGGGTGGTGGATGCTGATGTACCACCTCAGACTGTCAGTAGGAATCCTGTGGGAGGCTGAGTGGCTCAAAGGCTTGACAGTGGGATACTGGACTTTTAGTTGTCTGGTCGTGAATGCCACACAGGCTTATATTATTGCTGATTGAGGGCAATGTCTGAGTTATGACAGCTTAATGTGTCACCTCTTGCCAGTTGGGTCACAGGAGTTGTCTGTGAGGGTGCATTCAGCCCTGCCATAAGATGAGGTAGTACCGCTTAGCTTAACAGCCTTGCATAATGAGTTCACTGAGCTATATTATCGCATCTTGACCACAGTATAAGGTTATATGTATGGACAGTTAAATGCAGTTCAGCTGATGCCTGTTAGTACTTTAAATGCTAGTACTGTGAGCATGCACCTGGACCCTGACCACACAGTAGTTGTTGAGTGGCTCAAGGGAATCTGGAGGCAGAAGCACAAATGCTTTGAGGTGGGGCGTGTGTATGAACATGAAGGAGTGAATCTGAGGTTCTCTGATAGCTGTCTCCCTAAACAACCAAATCAAAATATCTTTATTCCCTTTTTCACCTTTCATTTTCAGTGGTAAGTGATTTTCTCCACTGAAATAAATTTTAATGTGTTACTGCCCAAGTCCCTCTGTTTTGGTGAAATTTAGAAACCCAATGTCTCTAAGCCTGTTTTGTCCAGGTGTTTAGATCACGCTCAGATTTGTGCTGTCTATAGGCATTTGTGGAAAGTAAACTGTAAAATTTGCACAAGTAAGTATTCACCCCAGTGCTTATGTGCAGTCAGAAAATGGAAATGGATTCCTGTGTGTACCCTCCTCAGCTGCAGTGTACCATCAGTTAGAGTTGTCTGCTCCTGAATGCTTCACCTTTTTGTCTGCATTTGAATCAGGATGAGCATTTCTCATCCCCATCCTCCTTGTCTCTCCTCAACCTGTCATGAACTCTTACTCAGCAATCCTTGCTTTGCAGGTGTTTCAGAGGCGGAGCACTGGCGAGGTGGATTTCTACAAACACTGGAAAAATTATGTGGAAGGCTTTGGAGATCCCACTGGGGAATTTTGGCTTGGTACAGTACAAGGGTGTGACCAGTGAAAAGCTGAAGATTAGCTTTGTAGAAGCACCTAAATGCTGAAATATCCAACCCCTGAGCCTGCAGTCTGGAACTGTCAACTTTTGTGTCTTCCCTAGAAGTGCCAGTGAAGCATTGAGCGATCTGTAAAGGCCCACTAAGTCTTGCCACTGGCATGTTTGGGCTTTGGAGTAGTCTCAGAGCAAGCCAAACTCTGGAAAGGTTTATTTCAGGCTTGTGTGTCCCTACAAGAGGAAGAATAAAGAAATTGCATTTGTGAAAATGCAAAGTCCAGGATAGTACACAAAACTTGGTGTATTAGGTCATTTTTTGTCTGTCTTGTTCTGTTAGAGAACTCTGTGTGGATCAGAGAATCCAGCACTAAATAGGTCAAGGTCTCTGGAGCAAGAGTCTTTAAATGTTCTGGGAAAAATAATGTTGCACTACAGCCAGTCTTGCACTGGCTTAGGCTGGCTGTTTTTTCTGATACTGCTGTCTCTTGCCAGAAAATGAGATAAGACAGAATAAACTTGGCAAAATGTCACGACAGCATCAAGCAGGGAAGGAGGGAGGCAGGAAATAGCTGATTTAACCAAAATGGCCACAGGGTGAGAGTCTAGGACTGCAACGGTGAACAGGCTTTTCCCTTTTAAGAGAATAATTCTTTTTTCTTCTAGGTCTTGACAAGCTGCACAATCTCACAAGTAGCAGCCCCATCCGCTATGAGCTCCGGGTGGATTTGCGGACAGCCAGCGAATCTGTCTATGCTGTCTATGACTTCTTCCAGGTTGCCTCGAGCAGGGACAGATACAGGCTGTCGGTGGGGAATTACAGAGGCAATGCTGGTGAGGAGTGCCTCGTACTTGTGCTGTCTCTGCTTTGCACAGGGAAGCAAATGCTGGGACCTGTGTATTTGTTTTGCCAGTAGTGTGGGAGCTCATTAGGTCAGGCTAGATCAGATGTGGTTCTCTTTGAGGACAGAAGTGTGTACCTCCTGGGAAGACTGAGGAGAGTAAGCCCACAGGCCCGAAAAAAAAAAGCAGAAAGAGTTGCTTTTTCATGGGGAAGAGAGGGCTCTGTAACCCAGTGAAACACCAGCTGAAAAGGCAGACTGGGAAGCATTTCCATGAGGTAACCTGTGCTGATGGGGAGCAACTTCTGGGGTTCCCCAGCTGAGAAGTGCAAAGAAAGTGGCTTTTGTTCAGGATGGGAGTTTGCTCAACAGCAGTAGCTATCCTGGTGCTGGCTTCTGCCACTGGTAAATCATTACCATTGCCATTGTGTCCATAGTCTTTCACTTATCCTTTAATATCCTTTTGCCATAAGGTTCAGCTGGGGGGATCCAGCCCTTGGACATGCCCTCTAATAGCAGCTCTCTAGAAATTATTGTCCAGACCCATCCTGTGCTGTGGCTTTTCCCCTGACAGGCCTGCTCTGTTCTGCCTGAAGGGTGTATTAAGCCCTTAGGCTGAGCAACTGTAGTCTCTTACTCCTATTCATGTCTTTCATCCCTTCCCTTAGGGGATGCAATGACCTACCACAATGGCTGGAAGTTCACAACGTGGGACAGAGACAATGATGTGGCTCTCAGCAACTGTGCTCTGACACACCATGGTGCATGGTGGTACAAGAACTGCCACTTGGCCAACCTCAATGGGAAATACGGGGAGAGCAAGCACAGTGAGGTGAGTGGCCAACCTGTCTGGTGGTCAGCTCTTCTCCCTAGCCTTGAGAAAACATATGGCGGGGATGTCTCTCCTTGGAGCAGGAGAGATCGCCCAGGCTATCCTAACTCACTTAATTTGAAAGGAAAATGATCCGTAAGGAAACTTATAGCTCTTACTCTGTCCTTCCTGGGTCCAGAGGACTTCAGCTCATGGCCCCCTGATTCTTGTGGGCGGAGATACTTGAGGTGGAGCTGTCTTGATTTCTGAAGGAAACACATAAAAGAACACTCACTAGGAGCCACACTAGGATGCTGGCTCACTATCTCACGTAGCCTATACCTTGGCTTTCAGTGCATGCCTTGGTGTGCATCTTATTGTACAGGCTTATTTTGGGCTTGAAGATGGCTCAGTCCTATTGTGTTCCAAACTGGATAGAGATTTGATTTATATTAGGAATGTCTGGAAAATTGATTATAATTACAGTCAAAATCTGGTGAACAATAGCGACTCTGTTTATTGGAGGGTTAAATGGTATTAGAGGGGGGCAGTGGTAGACTCCTAACACCTGGTCTGCGTGCTTTAATAAAAGAAATTCCTTGGTCTTTTCCCAGGGGGTGAACTGGGAGCCATGGAAAGGCCATGAATTCTCCATCCCTTTTACCGAGATGAAGATCCGTCCTCAGTCTTCCAGTAATGAGCCAATACTGGGGAGGAAGAACAGGTCTCTATCAGGGAAGAGGAAGAAGATCAGGGCTTAAATCGAACTCTGTGCAGGACAGTACCCAAAGATAATGCTTCAGTATTTCTTAAGAAAGTTAGATTCAGACAGCCTTCTCCAATACATTGGAGACAATCACTGACTGACATGCACCCAGAGACATCTGGATCTGCAGCCCAGCCTGCTTCCAGCCTTTTCCTGATGGGTGATCTGTCAGAGACTGGGAGGGGGCTTGTGGGGAGCATCCAACTTGTAGCTCCCCTGGTTGGCTAAACATGACAAGGACCTGCTTGATCCAATGTATGCAACTTCTATGAACTTTATATAAAACAAGTTTTAACACATGATATTGTTTCTCAAAACCCAGGATGCTAACTCTGCTGAATTCTGTCCTTTTCTGGTGCCATCCACTTCAAACTTCAAAAAATTAAGTTTAATCCCACAAAAAAATAATAGCTCCTTAATTTACATCAGAGAGAGCTTTCCTGGGACCATCCCCTCTTCCTGTCTTGGTCTGTGGTCCTCTTTTTCCTTCCCTGTCATAATTTGGGGCACATTCCCTACTTTTCCTCCAGTCAAAGAGCTGGGTTTTGGGAAATACTGTCAGGCTGCTGGCAAGGCTTGTTAACCCAGGTGAGGTCTGTAGTCTGGGTTCCTCAGCGTCCAGTATCACATCTCTCCAGGTGATTTGCTCTATATTTTGCTTGTCTCTTCTTATCTCCCAGCCCCAAGAAAAGCCTGAGGAGATATGCAGTGAGTTAATGTTCACACTCCTGGGTGAGGCCCAGAACAGGGTGAGTGTAAGGGCTGTGCTCCTCCAAGCCCTGCTCACCAACCCAAGCCTGTCTGCATACCGCTTGCCTAAGAGGCCACTTACAGACCATGAACAGAATTCTCTATGCGACTGTCCCATCTGCCACCTTCTGCTTTTTCATTAGCAGCGTGGTAGCTAGTGATGCTGAAATGATAATGCTTGTCAACCACCTCTAAAATGAACACCTCTGAGTTAAACCAATCCTGCACGCTCTCCATCAGGCTTTTCTTTCAGGCTGTCTGCAGATGCAGGTGGACCCCAATGCATGGTTTCACATTTGGTTGCTTTTTTTCCTCACAGCCATAAAGGTGAGTTTTAGTTTCTTTCCCTGAGCAGATACTAAAATTTTGGACCACCAGCTACAGCCAGGGAAGAAGTATGAACTCACCAAATGATGCTTGCTCAAAAGCTTCCTTGTCTGAGCAGATTGGAACATGATTGTCCTATGTCTTAATGGCCTTTTCTATCCCAGTGCTAAGCTGAGTAATACATTTTAAAGAATCCTTCCCAGACTTTGGGGAAGCAATAAAATTGCAAATAAAGGAGGTCCTAAAATATTTCTGTTGTCTTTGCTTTGGGTGGCAGAATTATTTCTTTCCCCATTTAAACTAAGCCTTCTTTATGGAGATGGAGCGATACCCAGACCCTTAGCGTTGCCAGAGCAATGTGGAAAGACTGGGACTGTGAAAATTAGGTCTTCAGAGTCTGCTCCAAAACAGGGATGGGGACTATGTGATCTCTTCGTGACTGAATAGTGCAAAGCAATTAACTGATCTGTGGCTGCTAGGACCTGGCTGAGGACAGCTAGCTAGAGAACCATCTCTCAAAGGTGACTACTAAATTCTTAACAGTACTTTTCAGGGCTGTGCCTCTTTCGTGGGTGGGCAGGCAGGGACTCATCTGAGCTGCGTTAAGATATCCAAGCCCCGGTATGGGGGAAAGAGGAGACTAATGGAGGGAGGAGAGGAAAGGAAAATTGCACTTGAAGTGTTTTGCAGGCTCTGTGCTAAGAGCATGAGAGAAGGACTCAGGAAAATGATGAGGGTTCTTTACTGTGGTGAAGTGATTTCTCCCCATTGCCCACTTGTCTGTAGGCAAGGGCAGGTTTCACTTGTGTTGTTCAGTTAAAGGGCACAGTGTAGACATGAGGAAGGTGATGGAGGGGGACCAGAGGACTAGCCTCACACACAGCCACTCTAAAAGTAAGCGTATGTGCTAAAAAGCAGCAGGCATGATTGTGCCCAGCAGCTCTTTAGCTCTTTCCTGTGCAAACCTCGGAGGCAAAGCACGATCCCCTTCTAAAGCTGAATCTTACCCGAGAGCAGGGAATATTCTCTTAAGCAGTATGAGCTTTGTATTTCAGAGATAAAGGCAAATGAGACACCTTATTTGCAGTTTCTGAGGAGGGTTTACTTCTCTCTCCTAATTAGGGGCCCCTCTTTCACCAGGAAGGGCAGTCAAAGTGGTGGCGGCTGGAAAACCATTGTGGGAAGTCAGTATTTCCCAACAGCCACAGGATGGCATCATCTCTTCATGCTAGTGCAGGTGAAACTTCCCTGTATCCAGCTGGCCTCTGTGGAAAGACCTTTTTGGGGTTAACTGGAGTCTGTGCTACAGCTTTAGAAGCTGGGACCACTCAGATAATGTGGTTGGTTTGCCTTCAGGAACTGGCTGTTCTGGTTTCAAGGCTCAGGCCGGTTGGGGTAGTCCCATAAAAATTTCACATTCTCTTACTATGCTTGTTTTGCTGCAATACCCAGCCCTGTAATGGTGATGCTGTAGGGCCAAAACAGATTCTTGAAATCTCTGCCTTGCCCTGAGATCACTTAAATTTTATAGCCAGTGAGGTTTGCAACATGCCCAGGGGCAGAATTTGAATCCCAGAAGGATCCTCTCTCCCTTGGCTTCACTGTGTTGATGGGGACTGTCCCGTTGCTGGGCCCCAGGAGCCAGGACCTATCTGTTGTGATACATCTGGGGTGCAGCATGGTCAGTGCTGCTGGGGGGGGACCCCAGCGAAATGCTGCTGCAGGGGGAGAGGTGGTGGATTCTTCATCTACCTCCCCACCGTCCCAGCACTTACGCAGGAGGAGGAGGGAGAGGAGAAGGCATGCCTCTTCCCAAAGATGTTGCACTTTCAATGGTGTAATTTAGAGAGAAGGCAGGAGAGTCTTACTGCACTGGGCACTTGCTTGGAAAGCAGCAATGTTACTTCTGGTCACTGTTCTAGGCTTTGTTGGCTGAATAAATAGAGGAAAATAGTCAGTGAAGATCCCATTTTCCCCTCCTACTGGGGTCTCAGGGGCCTGCAGGGGCAATTTTTGCATCCCCTCAATCCCTGGACTGCTCCAGGATGCTCAACTTGATCTCAACCCCTGCCTGCTTCTAACCTAAGACCCAGGAACCTCCCTTTCCCTCTGCAGCCCACGCTACCCAAGAATGCCTGGCCCTGAATACAGTGTGCAGGGCTGCCACCTGGAGAGAAGCAAGGTGTGCACTGCTCATTCCTTCCCCCAAAAAGTGTGTCTCTGCCATTTCTAGCTGCTTGTTGCTGCGGTCCTGCATGCCTACCAGTCTCCTCCAGAGCCTCAGCTGTGTGGGCACGGTGCAGCTTGGTGCATCATCCAGGTGAGAGGCAAATTTAGTTTTGTCCTCATGGAGGGAAAGCTCCGTGGTGCACGATTTGGAAAGGTTCTGCCCAGCAGAGGTGTGCGCCTGGTCCTATGACATGCCCAACGCAGATGGCTGCAAGAAGCTGCAGACACCGTGAAATACTTGGCTGATCAAAACCAGCTGGGGTTAACTAGTCCGCACTGCTGACCCTCTGCAAGGAAAAACCCCTCTGCAGCCCACCTCCCGCAGTGCAGAAATGCTGCTTTTCTTCTTCCCACTACTTTTGCCCTTGGAGAAGTGCTTGACTGTGTTCATTAACAAGGTGAGGCCATTAAACTTGATTAAGCTAAGCTGTTTCTTTAAGAAAATGTCTCTCTGAGCTGCACAGCTGGCTGCAGGCAGAGACTGCACAGCCTCTGCATGCTGAGCTCTCCCTGTGTCTTATCTAGGGCCAGGACACAGATACAAGAAAGATTTCCCCAGGAAAATAAACACATGACTGAGTGTTGGAGACATAGCATTTGTTTGCAGTTTGAGAGTCATTTATTTTTGTTTTAAAAAAGAAACACTGAAAAAAAATTGTTTTTTTTCCCCTGTTGCATGGACTGTTTAGGAAAATAAAAGGTTGATACTGAAATGCAGTTGTGGGGAGGCAGTGCAGAGGTGTCTGGAGAGTGGGGACCCATGCAGTGGAGTTTCTGTACCATGCATCTCCTGCTGCCTTGTTAGTGTGGGTGCTGCGGGGTTGCTGCTGCCTGGCTCATGGGTGACAGGTCCTGGAGCACCTCAGGCTGTCGCTGCTCTTTTGCTTTTGTCTCAAGAAGCAGCTGATTCAGTGGATGGTTTGGCTACAACGGCAGCCCTTGAGCAAGTCAGCCCCTGTGCTTTATGGGGTGCAGAGGCTTGGACCATCTACTGGTCAGATGGATCAGGGCAGGGTTGTATCCTGGTCCCTTCCTGCCCAGCCCAGGGGTGGTTTGAATTATGATTTTTGAGGAGCTCTTGAAATTCAGACCTGGCTCTGAACTCCCAAAAGCCTGGATCGGAGATGTTGTTTGTGACAAAACACAGACATTTTCTTGACGGCTCTCTGGTTCTTGTAGGAATCGGTTGCCCTCGCCTGAAACGTTACTCACTACTCCTGCCAGAGAAGGACCTTCTTGCAGGGAGCCATGCAAAGCCTGGCAGCTCCACACCGGGTAGGCTGTACTCTGCCAGAGCTGGCTGCCTCTGTGCCCCTGCTTGTTCGGGTAAGCCTCTGGCCTCCCATCATGTTTCCCTTCGCTCTGATTTTTTTCGATTCCTCCAGGCAGCACCACCCTTCCTCCGGGGCTGTTGGTGCCTCTAGATTGCAGCAGGAGCACCTGCGTGGGCAGCTCTCCTGCCTGTGGGAGGAGGCTGCTTTGCCCACCTGGTGAGCTTGGAGGCAGGAGGGCTGGGAAAAGTACCTGCACGGGTGAAAGGAGGGAAGGAAGAAGGAATAATACAAGTGCAGTGCTGGTTCTCCAGGGTCCTGGCTGGACTGGGGGTCTGGGACAGAGACCAGAGCTATTCCTGCATGTCTCTCTCTAGGATTAGGTGTGGCAAATCCTAATTTTTTATAGCATTATATGTTGCTTCCTGTTTTGGAGGAGAAGGGAGTAACTTATTTCAATGCTAACAAAGCAAGCTGGAAAATAAGGCACATATGAGGTCAATTTAAAGGGCTGTGTGAGGAGGAGCCTGGCTTCCTGGCTGTTACCAGCACAGCCGCGCACAGCCAAACCCCGTGATGTGATGGTAACATCACCGCCCTGCCTGAGTCAGACAAAACAGGCTGTGCTGGGACTGGGTGGCACAAGCAGCTGCTTCTAAATGGTGGCTTTGCCACCCTGCTGGTGCGTGCCTCAGGAGCTGGGGGAAGGCGGCATCACTCTTGCCCAGGCTGGAAGCGGTCATGTCCAGCAGCTCCATCCAGGCTTGCCTACGTGGGTTTGGCGGTTTGTCCCCCAGATGTCTGGCTGGCAGCTCCGGACTGCTCCAGCAGCTTAGGAAGTGGAAGAACGTGGGAGGAAAACATCCAGTGTACAGACACAGGGCAAAAACCAGATGTGATAGGGCTTCTCATCACATGTGCATCCCTCGCTGGCAGAACAAGCTGGGGGAGACAGAGCCTGGCGGGGCAGAGGAGACCCCCAGCTCCTCAGGAGGTAGGCTGGGCATGCAGTCATAGGGGGAGCAGAGGGTCAAAACCAGAGTAGGGGTGAGAGCTGTGTGTGTTCTTGTTAGCTGCTGCCTCCGGCTGAGCCATCGCACTTCCAAGGGAGATGAGGATAGAGAGGGATGCTGGGTCCAGCTGTATGATGCATCCCTGAGTAAGGGACGACTGCGGGCATTAACTTTACTCCCCTCTGCTCCTACAGCACATACCAAATCCCAGAGCCAGATGGCTTGACAGCCATAGAGAAGCCCTCTGCATGGCATACAGAGCTGCCTGCATGGCATCAGCTGGCAGCACCATGTGCTTGTGGGTCTGCATGTGCACAAGGGCTGCAGGGAGAGGGGATGGCCGAGTGTGCTGGGAAAGCGTGTCTGCTGCTTCAATACCGCTTCGGTGTGCCCAGCCCCACAACAGAGGGGCCTTTGGTCCTGCTCTTCTTTAGTAGTCATTCAATAAATAACTCTAATGCCCGTAGCTAAGCCTTTACACAGCCTCAGCTTGCGTTTCTGCTCTTGCAGTAGTGTGGTGGGCTCTCTAAAGGCAAGTCTGTATAAAACAGTCTTTCAAGGAAGATTTTTTGTAAGTGCTGGTGCAAAAGGGCCAGTCTTGCAGCCTCCTCTCTCCTCCCTGCCTCTAGCCTGGGTGGCAACGTGTCCTTCTGCTTTGCTGCCTTAAGATGGTGTCTTGAGGTCTCTAAGGTTGGGCTGAGGGCACCTGTCTTCAGATGCTCTCTGTTGCCTTTGGTTTGGTGACTGGGAAGATGGCACATCTTTGAACTGTGGGGTAACTCTGCACTTGGCTTCTTTGCATCTCCAACACGAGCTGGGTTTGGACGGAGCCTGTCATCAAGTTGTGCCATCTCCACAGCAGGACAAGCAAACGAGGTGTGCCTGTGCTTGCTTTGCGTGCAGCTGTCTATGTTTGTGCACGGGGAGCATGCAGGCAGCTCAGTCTTCGACTGCATGTGGTCCTGTGCACCCTTGTCCGTGAGACGTCGCGTGTGCTTGCTCACGAGTGCAGAGGGAAAGCCTCACACCCGGTCGCTGTGTGCCAGCCCGGTGCATGTGCATTGTGCTCGTGGCGGGAGGTATGTACGGCCCAGTGGCACGTCACACTCATGTGCTCAGCAGGGCACGTGTCCGCGTGCACGCCTGTCCTTTGCAGGGGTTTCTGCCCTTGGGCACGCTGTCATGGTGGGGGAGAAGGGGCTTGCATAAACCTGTGCCCAACTGCCTTGCTCTCTACTGGCCCTTCAACGTGCTGGTTAGCTGCTGGGCTCAGCCTCTTTTGAAAGTCACCAGAAAGTGGCAGCAGCTTTGGCATCTCCTTGCCTCCCATTGTGCACAGCTGAAAGGACTGGTGGCATGTCAGAGGGGAGGGCCTGAACACCCTCCTGTTCGCTAGATGGGCAAGGAGGGTCTCTTGTCCAGCAAGAGCAGCTTGGGCTGAGCAGAGATCCACAGGTCCTCTTCACCCTTCTTCTTTTTTTTTTTCTTCTTGTTCCTCTCGGCGTGCAGCTGCCCGTTGCTGCTGGGGCCACCTTTTTTCCTGCTTTCTCCCCTCCGGCTACAGAAGCAGCAGTGGCAGCAGATGAAAATGAACGCAATGAGGACGACGAAGGGCAGACCCATCAGCACAGCCAGGCAGACGGTGTTGAAGACACCTTCCTCATGCTTGGTACGGATGAGCTCCAAGATGGAATTAAAGAAAGAGCTGATCTTCTGCTCCATGTCGGCTCCTGGGCAGGCTGCCTGTGCTGCTCCCTCCACTTGAAGGCCCCTTGGGATACGTTCAGCTCCTGTAAGCAGCTAGCGGGCTCCACAAGCGTCGTTGGATGATGCCTGCAGAGACGGGAAAACACATGGATCAGGTGCCTACTCCCTCAGCAATTTTCTCCATGGAGCTGCCAGCACAGCCAAAGCCTCAGCAGGGTGAGAGGTCTGCTGCCTTGGAGGGATCTGGGGTCACGAGGGCTGGGCCATGCTGCTGGCCACATCCCTTTGGGTGTCCCCATCTGAGAAACACAGCCTCCCAACCTCTCCTGGGGTTCATTCTCTGCAGTGGGGATGGGCAAGGAGGGCTTTGGGCATCCCTACTTGCCTTGGCATCTGGCCAAGCACAAATCCTACCCCCCCTGGACATACATCTCAACCCTCACTTGGCAGCCACAGCATGGAGCTCTTACTAGCCCTTTGTAGGTCTTATTTCTCAGCAGAGGAAATATTGTCTGCAGGAGGAGCTTTCCTGTCTAGGAAGGGACTTGCCTGGTTCAGGCAAGGGACCACTGCAGAGAGCAGTACTGCTGCCATCGGGGCCAGGAGTCAACATGTCACAGGTCTCTCCTTACCCTCGATCCACCCTGGGACGGGGTGTCTGGTTTAGACAGACTGTTTGTAATGGTCCGTGGTCTGGGATGGGCAGCCGAGCTGCTGCGGGTAGGGCACTGCCCTGCATCTGGGCAGCGCAGAGGCAAGGTGTACCTGTCCCGGGCACCACACTGGGGTCTGGTCCTGCTGCTTTGGCACCCGAGGCACAGCTGGGAGGTTTGGGGTGAGGGCTGTGGTTAAACCACCTGGATTTTTGATGGGGACTATGGTCAGTGGGACTCGTAGGTGGTGGTCAGGCACCCATGGCTACCTCCGTGCACCCAGGGCTGGCTGCAAAGGCAGTGGTGGGGGAGGACAAGGGTTGGCTGCGGATGGAGGAGTCTCTGCTGTGCCTCACCTGGGAATTGCTCCAAGGGTTGGGTAGGGCCGAGGAGCATTTCTGCAGCCTGACGTAAGGTTTTCCTCTCCCTTGGGGAGGGAGAGGTGCTGCTGAGAAGCAGGGCTCCCGGGAAAGCCCTTCTGCAGGGGCAGGGAGCTGCTGCCTCTGCTTATGGTTTTCCTCCTCTCCTGGGGCCAGGCAAAGCTCCCGGGGTTTTGAGTAGGGCAGGGGGCTTTGTGCCATGAGTTTGCAGTTTTGGTTCAACACTGGGGTCACCAAATCACAGGTTGTGCAGATGAAGAGCTGGCAAGAGCAATATCAGGCTCTAATACCATGTTTCACCCTCGCTTGGCATTTTACATCAGTGCCTTTGCCAGCCTTTGGGATTCAAGCCCCACAGCCTCTTGAGGGAATGCAGAAATCCCATGTGCACAGGAGAGGAAACTGAGGTGCAGTAAAAGGAAAGCCAGCACTTCCACGTAACAAAAACTTAAGAGATACAGCCTGAACTCCAAAGGTGTCCCGGAGGGGTTGCTCCACTTGTCCCCTTTGACCACCAACCCCTCACCTCTCCCTCTGGCAGCTCTCACAGAGCCCAGGCACCTCTAGAGGGGAACGGGAAGAGGACCCAGGCTGGTTTCAGTTAAAGCCGGCTTGTCTATAGCAATACCATTCCTTGCTTTGAATCGCATTTATTGCTGTTGCGGTATCTGCTAAGGGATGCTCCCTTGTACCAAGCATTTTGGGAACTGGGCCCATCCCGAGCAAAAAAATGCTCCCTGCCGAGGCGGGAGCCGGTGGGCAGCCACCGAAAAGGTGGCTCCCAAGGGAAAACCTGCCTTCAGAAACACTGTCCCGGGACCTACAAAGATGTACGGGGTCTTGTTTTACCAGCCGCCCCCGGCTGCTGGCTTTCGTACCCAATTGCCAGGACCCCAAGCGCCAAATCCTTCAGTCTAGATGCTCAGGTCTCAGTCTGGGACTTCACAAGTGCTCTGATCCTATGTAAAGAGAAGGGTTTATCATCCCTGCCACCTGCAGAAACAGACTGACCGCTGTGTATTTATTGTTTCAATCTGCACAAGAGCATAGCTGAGCTGGCTGCAATTAGCTGGTGGTTTCTCTTCTGGACAGATGCATGGGAAATGTGATGAAAATGGATGTACAAATTTCTGTGGGCGCCTTTCTGAAAAACTCCCATTTGAGATTTACCAAATGAAACACACTGCTGTGGGAGGTGGTATGGGCTTTGGCTAAACAAAGACATTTGTAGCTAACGTTTTATTGCTGGATTTTTGTCCAGTTTGCTGCATCTTCCAGTTTCTGCTTGCTATAAGGGGAATTAAAATATATATATATATTTTATATATGTGTGTATATATATATATATGGTGGGGTTTTTTTGGAGGTAGACAAGCAGAATGGTGGGGATGCCAGGCATGGACCCAGGAGGGAGGAATGGTGCTGCAAGAGGCAGAAGAGCCTTTTCCACCCCACCTCTGCTGCCAAGCAGCTTCCCGGCCTTGGGAAACCAGCTGCTCCCTGCATTGCCTCATTCCCCTACCTGGCAGAGGACGGTGATATCACTGCCATCCCCACCTGAGAAATCATGGGCTATCAAGGAGGGCTCAGAGACTGAAATCCCATCCATCCCCTTCCTACCCCCTGCCTGGAGCCAGCGGTGAGTGTTACAGATCTGCTTTTGCCCACAGGGGAGATAAGCAAGGGCTCTCTGGGTGCCTGTCTCTGCTATCTGCTGCCCGCAGGCATTACAAGCAAAGGCAAGGGGGCAAGTGGTGAGAACCACTTCTTAAAACTGCTCCCTGTCCCAGCCTTCATCCTTGCCGAGGCCTTTTTTTAGAACAGCTGTAGTAAAGGTTAAACTGCAACAGAAATAAACAGCGTGGCTTTTCCTCGGCCTGAATCATCTGCGTGAAGCAGGTTTGCCATTTATCCATAAATATCCCGACAGCTCATTATCCAGGCAGGAACATTGGACGCCTATGATACACTTCACTCCAAAAAAGAAGTAAAAAAACCAACCCCAAAACAACTGCCTTAATTTCAGACAAAACAGGATGTACAATTTTATTCCTGCGCTGAGCTGCTTCATATTTATTGCCTCTAAACTTCTGGGGAGGGAAGGAGGGCTGGAACTTCCTCTTAAACTTGTAATTAATTGTTTGCAGAGAAAAAAAAAAAACAGAGCCCTTTGAAATGTTTCCACTTTAAACCGGAGCTGAATGCACTGCAGAGGCCCTCGCTGCTTGATCCTGGGAAGTTCCCAGCCGGGGACATGCGGCAGTGCTGGGCAAGCCTGGAGCCACAGGGATGCGGCCAAGCATCTCTTGCAAGGGGAAGGCAGAGGTACCTGCCACTGCCCTGAGCAAGCAGTGCAGAAAGCCTGGGGCCACCTTTCAGCACGGCTATGCAGCTGGTTTTCAAATGCCTTTTCTTTTTGGTGCGTGCATTGCCTTTTGTATGGTAGATGAAGGGATGTCTGTGCGCTAAATAAAGGAGTTCTTCAGTTTAATATAAAAAAAAAGGGGGGGAGGGGAAAGTAGAAAAACTGGTGCCTTTTGAGCCACAACTCAAGCTGAGGGGTTACCCAAGGCCACCCATTGCCAGCTGAAAGCCTGTGGGCGCAGCAAGGAGCTGCATTTAGGAAAAATCCGTGCTGCTGCTCAATTTGGTGCGACAGCAACATCTCCCCTTAGAGAGGGGATGAACCGGGAGAGCTGCGCCGGGGCCCACCATGGGTGTGAACGGGGTGCTCAATGCATGTGGAGCTGCAGCTGGGAGGTCGGCCATTTTTTTGGGACAAGATACAGGACCAAAAAACAGGGCCAGGGAGGCACTAGGAGACAGGGCAACGTCTTGGGGAGGGCTGCTGAACGCCCTGTTAAATGAGCTCTTTGTTTTTGGGTAGCCAGCGCTGGCAGCGAGTCAGGGGAGAGCTGACATAGTAACTCACTCGGGAAATCCTGCTGCCAGGGATGGACGGCTACATCTGATGGCAGCTCTGCATGGCTGGAGTTTGCGCAGCTTGTGTTAAGTTTTAATCGAAGTTGGGCGTCCAACATGAGGTTCTTTAATCCACGTTGGCTCCGAAGGAGCCGGTTTTCAAGGGTGGGGAGCATCTGCCACTCCTCCGGAGTTACAGGCAGCCGTGGGTGGAAAACAAGCTCCTTTTGAGGGCCAGCTTGGGATGGCACCACAAACCATTGGCGTGCACGGCTTGCCTGGCTGAGCTGGGGCGGTAAAGGCTGCCAGCCTGAGCATGGGGAAATCAAAACAGAGGGGTTGCCTTGGCAATGCTGGCTTGCCCACATCCTGCGCACTGCAGAGCAACCGCAGCGGCTGGGGATGGAGGTAGAGTTTGCAGAGAAGTTGCAGTTCACTGGAAACAGGGGGCAAAGGGCTGGAAACTGCTACGCAGGGTCACCATGGCAGAGGGGAGAAAGCTCGAGACGTTTTAGGATCTGATTTTGCAAGTTAAGTCCTTTAAGCTCAACTCTCAACAGGCTCTTATGTCCGCGTGAAGTCCTCTCCAGCCTAACAAAGCCTGACCGGCTCCTCTCGGTTGACATACAGCCCGGTTCAGGTGGGAGCGGAGCCGCTCTAAGGTGCTTCTCCCTACACCCATGTTGAGAGCAGGGGCAGCTCTGGAGGACAACCGACATACAGCCCATGACCTATGGGGTTTGGCCCCGACTACTAGGTTATTTGAACTCCTCTGCGCTTGGTGTCCGGCTGCAACTCAGGACTTGCAGAGGTGACATGAAAGCGTCTGACCTGCAGCCACCCCCATTTCCTTAATGCAGATGAGAACTTGCTTCTGGTGAGACCTCACTTCATGCAACTGATGCTAAGTGGTGCAAAGCAGGAATCGCAGTATTAGACTTGACCATTTCCTTCTGTTATTGGCTTTATATCAGCTTTACACCCACTTTCCACTGGCAGTGATAGCTATGGGTCAGGCTAGGAGAGGCTAACTTCTCTCTCACAGCTCTGATACAACGAGCACAGACACAGCTATGCACGCACACACGAGTGACATCTATTTTCCCATTTGCACCTGCAGACTTAAAGGAAAACTGGATGCAACCTGACACTGAGGGTGAGCAGTTTCCTTAGCTGGGATTGCACGTTACTGTTTTGGAAATGGTGAATAATAAGAACACACAGCAGGCTTCAAAGACCTTCCTCAAACGTTAAAAAACAAACACCAAAAGCCACCACCCAGCAAACAAAACCAACTAAAGCTTCATCTTATTCCCACTGCTGTCAAACCTTCCAGCCAGAAGCTGCGCGTAGAGGCTTTCATCCCCTAAAGGGAGCGATTTGGAAAACTACTAATACGAATGTTGGATAACAGGGTTAAAGTGAAACTATTTTGCAAGCTGCCGCCTGGAGCCTGCTCCGTGATTGCCATCTGCACACGCACGCTGCCATCGGCCCGGGATCGGTGCAACTCCCGGCCAAAAGACCAGTTTTGCTTTTAGAAAAGCACCGCTGTCATCCCTGACAGCACCGGGAGCTCCTCTGAGCCATCTCGGTCTCCTCTGAACTACGGTACAGGCAGCGCTGCCTCCCTGGGCTGGCAGGCAGCCCCCACCCAGCCCACCCGTGGCCCTCCCTGGGGTGGGTCGCAGACGTTTTTGGTTACAGGAGGCTCAGGGGGCTGCAGATCCACCTGGGCCAACCCTGGGGCTCTCCAGGGGAGAAGTAGCAGCAAAATTTGTTGGTGCAGCCTTACCTCTAGCTTTCGTGACCTGAAACTCCCGGTGCTGGGCAGGCCTTCTTCTGACAAACGTCCCCTGAGAGGTAGTTGCTCTTCATCGCCATTTCTCAAGTGCCACTGTCTCCACCCGCCTCTGCCAGCATCTGCCCTGTAGGCTGTGCCACGGTCCCACCGCCCCTGCCCAAGCCCCATCCCCGCA